CACCCTTGCTAGCACTTTGTATAGAAAGACCATTCCACTTGTGCTGTTCTGTTTGCTAAATAATCACAATCTTGTTCTGATTTTAGTTTTTAATTTCCTCTTTATTAATGAGGTTAAAGATATTTCCACAAGTTTATAGTTTATATATATTCCCTCACTCCATAAAATGCATATTAAAAATATTTTGTCATTTTTGATTACTAGGAGTCTTTATATATTATAGACACTTGTTCTTTAAAGATCATGTCTTGCAAACATCTTCTTTCAGTGTAAGTCTTATCTTTTTATGCTCTTTATTGTAATTTTTTACATTTATTTATTTATTTTATTAAATTTATTGGGGTGACATTGGTTAGTAAGATTATATAGGTTTCAAGTGTGTTTTTTTTTTTAATATATTTTATTGATTTTTTTACAGAGAGGAAGGGAGAGAGATAGAGAGTTAGAAACATCGATCAGCTGCCTCCTGCACATCTCCCACTGGGGATGTGCCTGCAACCCAGGCACATGCCCTTGACTGGAATCGAACCTGGGACCCTTCAGTCCGCAGGCCGACGCTCTATCCACTGAGCCAAACCAGCTTCTCAAATGTGTTTTTTATAAGGTTCTTAGGCTCCAAGCTAATTGACTATCCTATCTAATAATGGACAAAGATGCAAATTGACCATTCCTTCACTACACCCACCATGGGCTAATCAGAGTGATATGCAAATTAACCGCCAACAAAGATGGTGGCTAATTTGCATACTGCAGGTGAGGCTGGCAGCACAGGACACTGCCTGCGGGACCTGGGCCCTGGATCCCTGACCTGGCGAGAGAGCAAAGCGGCAGAGAAGGGAGAGGCCCAGGTGGCAGAGAAGGGAGGGAGCCGAGGGCGAAGAGGCGAAGGGAGGGAGTGAGGCAGTGGTGAAGGGAGTGAAGCCTGCCTCAGTGGACTTCGCTCCCTTCTCTGCTTCGCTCCAGTCTCAGGAAGCCCTATTCTTGCAGGAATAGGCCCGAGGAAGCCCTATTCTTGCAGGAATCTTCCTGCAACAGGCCTCTAGTCTAAATATAATTAAGAACATATTAGTGATGCCATACAGTTGTCCATTGTTTCAATGAAATAACACCGAAAAATTATCATCTGCTCAATTTTGAGTTATTTTACCAGTTTTGGCTTTACATGTATTCCTTGGAAAAATATGTGTGATGTAGACATGAAGAAGAAAGAGCCCTTCTTGGAGACAATATACTCGTAAACTCAATGAATACAGTCAAACATGTTCTTTGGAAAAGGAATTACTTAACATTGAAGAATGGCAATATAACTGACTGTGAAGTACTGAGGACTTATCCCCTCTAAGAACAAGTATCATGAGGCAGCCTTTCTTGCTTATAGTAACAAAACTATACTATTCTTTGAAATAGTATTACAAAACTGAGCATTCCAGAACAATTAGCTAGCAGCAAGGTCTTGTTAAGTTAGTAAAAACACAATGGAAATTCCTTTAGAAATGAATGCCTTAGGGTGTTTCCTAGAGTATTTGTACACATTCCTATTAATCAAGAAATAAAAGAATGATATTAAATGTAAACAGACTACACACTATCATCCCTGGTTTATTGAGGAGTTTCTTTTCTTTCTTTCTTTTTTTTTTAAATCCTCATCCAAGGATATTTTTCCATTGATTTTTAGGGAGAGTGGAAGAGTGGAAAGATAGAGAGAAATATCAATGTGAGAAAAATACATCAATTGGTTCCTCCTGCATGCGCCCCTACAAGGGTTGAGCCTGGGAAGATCCTGTAACTAAGGTATGTGTGCCCTTGACAGGAATTGAACCCAGGACCCTTCTGTCCCCAGGCTGATGCTCTGTCCACTGAGCCAAACTGGCTAGGAAAAGCGTTTCAAAATAAGTATGCAATTGCTTCAATTCCAGATTTCCAGATAATTTTTAAAAATTTTATACCCATTGACTAGTATAAGCATATAGTTTAACAAGCCACAATATGAGGTTGAAATTAGTACCATTTAGGTCTACACTAAAATAACTGAAGAAAAGTCATCATTTAATGTATCCTTTTAAATTCTAATTTCAACAATAAGAATTCAGCATGTGATAGAGTTATCAACATAAGGTAATTCTCAAGTCAGTGATTTATCACTATGTGGTTTTTATTATGACTAGTGTACATTCCAGAAAGCTTTCATTCCACAACTAGAAAGCCTATGCTGTAGGAAACATCGAATTGTTTCATGTCAATTGTCCCTGGGCGCTAGGAGCACCCTAGTGTGTGAGAAAGAAAAACAAGAGATGAAAGAGTAACAAGTAAAGTCAACAAGGAAAAGTGAAGGTAGGCAAAAAAATGACACTGCAGAGAACAATTGAGCTTAAAAACAATAGAAGGTAAAAACAGAATACTGGAAGGACTGAAAAGATAAAAAGGAAAAAATTTTATAATGAGCAAGAAGGAGAATTTGTTTTCAAATTGATTTTCTAGACATAAACCTCGTTTGTAGTATATAAGAACTTTAACACAAGCTATTTGAGTCTTCTGCAAAACACAAATAAAGTTAAAACCCTGAAGCACTTGTGACCACAGAATCAATCACTTTTGTTATTAGATCACATGCGCTATTTTACAAACAACTGCAATAGTCCGTTGAATATTGTAATACAGTGGGGCCTTGACTTACCAGTTTAATGCCTTCCGAGACCGAGCTCGTTAAGGAGCTCATTAAGTCAAATTACTCTATCAACTCAATGCGAAAAATTGGCGGAGAGACAGCTGGTATCTCAAAAAACTCGTTAGTCGGGACACTTGTAAGCCAAGGCCCCACTGTAATTTAAATACATCACATAAATATTCACTCCCTGCAAAGTTATTTACTCACAATGTTTATTTAGCATTTTCAACAGTTGATTTCTTTGTCAAAAAATTATAAGTAACCTCTATTAATTCTAAGTGTTAAATTAGGGAAAACTGAATTATTGCAATTAATATAGTCAGATAGCACAATACTGATCATAATATTTACTCATATTTAGTTATATTAAATATAAATATAAAATACACATCCAATTAAATATAAAATACACATCCAAGCTTTCTTTAATCTAGCTGTTAGACCCCCCAGAGCAAGGACCATGGGCCAGGTACAGAAACTCCCCAGGGCAGAAAGCCCCAGATGCCTGACAAGGGGCAAAACTGGGAAAACAAGAACCTTGTCTTCAAGGGTAACCTATCCTCCCCTATCATGAGGTTTGGACCCCTGATCTTTCATATTCCTGGTCAGGAGGTTTAGACCCCCTGCCCTTTACCTCCTTAAAGATAACGTCTGGGCCTCAGCTGTATTTCAGCTCCAGGCTCAGAAAGCAGCAAAACGAGACAGGTGGTGCCCTGGCTGCCACCAATCAGTGGAGACCATGACCCTGAAAGAGCACACCTGGAAAGCTGATGAATATTCTATTGTGGTCCTCCCCTGAGACCTCCCCTAAGATTTCTACCTTCAAGAGAGAGAGGGATATATGCTCAGGACAAGGGACCCAGCTCAAGCTCTCCCTCCAAGGAGCACACGGGAGCCATTCCTGTTCCCCTCCCTTCCCCCATAGGCATGTATCCTCTCACCTCTAAGGGACCCCCTGAGATTGCAACCAGGGGAGCAAAGGGCAGCAGAAGCTAGACCTGGGCTAACCCCCGAACCTTGCTCCAAGGCCCCCTTTTCTTTGTGTAGCCCCTTCCCTTTGGGTATCCCCATTTCCATCCCCTTTTCCTTAAATAAATACAATATTCTTTAATCACCGTCAGTAGTTGCTATTTAGCCTGCCCGGGCACCACAGTTAACCTTTCACTAGCCAGATGAGAGATTCACTTTGAAAATAATTAAATTGTAAGCATTATACATATTTGACTAAACAATAAAATTTGTCTTATTCTTTGGATATTTAGTGTCTTTTAGAACTCTAAACTAAAAGCTGATTTAGTTTTGTAAGAATTTTTACAAAGAAAATTACATAATTATTTGGCTAAACTGCTGTTTCAAGTCACATAAAACCCAGATACATGATTGTGGGAATAGTCTTCCATATGTCCAACTAAACCATAATTGCCTTCAGAGTGAGAACTAGATACTATTTGCTGTAGAATAGCCAACATATAGTGCAATTTCTGGCACTCAATCAGCACTTGATGAATGAGGAAATTATTTTATAGTCTGAGTCAACTATTTAAAAAAAATTCTACTTCTACTGCTTATTTATTTGCACTGCAATTGCATTTGTGTGAACAGTGAAGGAAACACAAAGTTAAATTTGGTCTATTCTGGCCCAGTGAGATCAGTTGTTGAAAGTAGAAAAAGATAATAAAGAGGAAAACAAGGCACTCTATGTGCCTGGAATTTTGTACAACCACACCTTCCACTTAAATGTTCTGCAGGATTGTCCCTCTGGAAACCATTGCAAGTCCAGTGGGGTGGCCCATTTTCAGACTCTGTGCCACCCGGAATATTAAATGGATGAATGTACAAATAACAAGAACTGTTTCTGATTTTCTCTTTCAGCCCTTATTTTCCTTTAGGCTTCTGAACAAGTAAACTCTGTCTCATCTTAACAAAGAAATGTATGTATGGAAATAGTCTCACATGTAATCAATCATTCTATTCTTTTGGAATAACCAAGACATGTATCAATTTTCAAAAAATATATTACATTATTTATTTTACACTTGAAGATAAAACTTAGTGGGAGGTGGTAGGGTGACTTACCGTTGGGAAGATTTCCCTCCAAACAAAATTATTAGAATACTTATAAAGCAAAAACTCCTTGCCATTTGCAGTATTGAAATGTTTTGCTTTGATGACCATATATTTGTTGTATAGCTGTCCCTTCCTGAGGGATATGCTATTGATTGCTCCCCATGCATAACAGTGCTGCTATCCTCTCACATTCATTACTAGAGAAATATTTCTTTTTTCGCACTCTATCATTGTAACACATTAATTTTAGATAACCAGTAGGGCTTACCTTGAAAAAGGTCATAGTTGCACCATCCTCAACTGCGCCGTACTCTATCTTGGTTTGTTTAGCTAAATCATCGGCAGAGTCAATAGGGGATTCCATCCGCTCCACTGTCAGAAAGGCGGCTAAGTTAGCAGTATACGAAGAAATGATGATAAGTGTGAAAAACCACCAAATGCCTCCCACTATCCTGGTGGAGAGCGCTTTGGGCATGAGCTCAGAACCTAACAGAGATTTGGGGGAAAAGGTGAAACGAATACAGAGAATTTGATCAGCAGTCAGGTACTTTTGGTCACAGTGGCAGAACGGAATCACTGTGTAATAAAAGCTTTAATTATTAATTGACATATTGCTTTAGTTAAGCAAACAACAACCACTGTGAGTGCAGAGACCAACTGGAGTTAGTAGGCAGTCTCTCAGGACTTTGTGTGTAAGTATAGTGACAGGAGACTCAAGTTCTTCCTGAGACACTGTAAAGTAGCAATTGAATACTGAGTGAAAAAAAACTTTATAAAAATAGAAGAAAAATCTTCTCTCCATTATAAACCATATGTACAGTGTTTCATATTCTTGTTAGTTATGTGGATTCTAGAATAAATGATTTAACGTATATTCAGTAATATTTCTTAACAAGTTTTCTGTAAAGTTTAATTTCATGTATATGAAGCTCCTAAACATTGTCTATCCTGCCATTTCAAAAAGTAATGTTGTGTAAAAATAATTCCAATACCCATGTTTCTTGAGATACAGGGTTTTAGTCCAGTTTTTATTTTAAAATAAGTAGTATATTATTTCCTATATATAAAGAAATGTCTCCCATCACTATAGTTGCCTCAATGCAGGAACCAGAATAAGTAGTTAAAGTGTCACAATTTTACTTTTACACATATATAAATATTTCTTAAATATATTACAATACATGGCTGGAGTTGCCTGCTCATGGTATTAACAAGAAAATGGGATCTGAATTATATCTTACTTTTGATTATTATTAATTTTAATTAATTTCGATTATAAAACAAAATCCTAACAATTTTTAAATCGAGCCTTACAGTTTTACATTTCCATTATGTCATTATTTGCAGTCTTAATGTTGAAATGAATACATATCAGCATATATTAATTTTTATAAGAAAACTATATTAACATATGGATAGGTGTAATATATTATTATTCACTTTAAATCATTTTGAATCTATAAGCAAGAAAGCATTGGATACAAATTACTTAATTTTTAATAGGCTTTGAGTAAAATGGAATGAAGCAAAGATGGACTCCATTTGCTGATTTGTTTTATAGTCATATACTGAATATAATCGCTGATGCAGGAAGATAACACATCTTTAGAAGGAGTGAAAAATACAACAAATATTGATGTTAACATTGAAAAGAAGTAGTGTCATGACTGGAATATATTCAAACAGCCCATCTTACACTGCAGGTCATCTTACTCTTGCAATTTCAGAACCAATGAACAAAATATTAAAAAGCAGACACACTTGGACATGACAGCCAACTCCAGCTCCAGACTCTGCCTACCGCTGTGTAAGGAAAAACAAAAGAGTACCTTTCCGTTGTAGTCGCTCCTAAGCCCTGTCAGACACACACTGGACACTGAAACACTAAATCCTCCCAAGACGATCAGCAGCTCTGGCTGCACATTCTACTGTTTTGTTTTGTTTTGTTTTTTAAACAACAACACCAAGTCAAACAAGACTGGGAAAGAAAAAAACACTGGAGACATTTGACAAAAAATGGCCCAATTACCACAAGTTCATACCTTACCCAAGGACTTAAAACAAGTACCTCCTAGGCTTGTGAATCAGAGCCTGGTTAGGGGCTGACTGTCATGTACTCAAGGTAACGTCATGTCCAGCACTACATCCCACTAATTCCTGGGAGTTTGGCATCAGCCAGAATAGTATGGGTTCCTCTTTCATGTATCCACCAGCAGGGAAGTCGTTATGTGGCAAAGCAAACATATGTTTGAATTTTTCTCTTGGATTACTTGTTATAATTTTCAGAGATATCAGTTACAGTCTCATTTTTAATTGCTAGATTTCATAGATATCAAGCTCATCTTGTGAGTATACAAATTCTCTAAAACTTCCAAATATCTTAAAAAATGCAGTGAAAAGATATTTTACTTTTCAAAGTGGTAGCAAAAATATTATTAATTAAAGAACTTGTTATGGTCAGACCTTTATTATGAGGCTAATATACTCCAGAGTATTAAGGCTAGTTTTTAGCAGGTGACTAACAGTTTGCCTAATGGTTATATTACCCAATACTACTTGTAATAGCTGTTTGTTTCATGACAGGCTTTTATTCACTTTTAATATTTTGAAAGAATTTCAATATTGTCTTCCAAGTATAGAGTAAGCCTAAGGGAAAAAAAATTGGACTCACCATATAGAAGAGGGAAAATACAAGTACTGACTATTCGTTTTATTTAGAAAGAGATGTTACAAACTTAGATTAGTTCATGTAATAGTTCTCTTAACTC